AAAAAACAAAAAAAACAAACCAAAAAAAACATGAAAAAACAAAAAAAACAAACTCTTTTCCTCGGCTCTAATCAGTCAGATAGCCAGCTGCATTGAAATATACAAGCTTAGCTTTGCCAAAAATGTTTATAATTGCTTTCTTCTTGGCCCTCAGTATAACATTTGAAGAAATAAGCTAAAATGTGCTTTCTATCATTTGCCCCACTCTCATTTTGTTCCAAACCTGAATGACTTTCTCCTCTGTAGATGTTCACAGTGCTCTTTTCCACACAGTGAAAGAATGCTCCAAAGAAGATTTAATAAAAAATAGCATGTTTTATTATGCAAGAGTGAAAATGAGATGTGAGAACAACAGCAGATTTTCAATAAATAATTATTTAAATTCCCTCACACAAAGCTGGCACATAGCATACAGGCCATTTGGACTATTCTGGTAATTTTATGTTGTTTTTCTCCACATTTTTGGAGCTCGACAACCCCTGTCCCAGTTCACTTTTATGGAAAAGTCCCGCATGGCCCATCTTTTTCTGAGTTTCATGTTAGAAAGCAGGCCATACAGGTTTGGAACAACATGAGGGTGAGTAAATGATGACAGAATTATTTTTGATTGAACTATCCCTTTAAGGAAACCGTAAAGCACAAGATGGTATTGTTATTTTGACTTTGTATTTCATTATTCTTAGAATCATTATTATCATGTATTTCATTATTCTTAGAATCTCATTACTAGTATCTCATTATTTCAACTCCAACTGCAAATCAACCCATTTGTGTTGTATTATTAAATATTATGATTATGCATAATGGCATTTCAGTAGCTTTTTATAGTCACTACTTCATCATCATACAACAGCTACTAAACATGTAGATTTTCTTGAGATTAAATTTCTTATCTTATCTGTGTTCTGTGTTGCCCAGGCCGACAAGGGACAGCGAGGATGATGAGGAGGATGAGAGGAAGGGCAGAGGATGTGCCCTGCAGTATCAGCACGCTCTGGTGCGTGTTCTCACACACTTTGTAGCCGAGCCAGCTGGCTCTGGTGGGGAGCTTGTGCACATGCTAGGTTCTGATTGGTCAGCCGACATCACAGAGATGGTCCTGGACTTCCTGAAAGTGGAAGATACAAGCTTTGCGCGACTAATTGATGGAAGGGTGCTGGTGGGAAGAGACCCAGGCATCACCAATATACAGGTAAATATCTATCTAGCTATCATCTGTATCTGCTTTTATACATCTTGCAGACACATTTTTTCCAAAGGGTCTTACATTGCTTTCATGATGTACATTTTATCAGTACAGTACAGTATATGCAGCTGATATTTGGTGAGCAGCTCAGTTTTAAATGATGTCAGCACACAAATAAAGATCGGTGGGAAAAAAAAGAAAGAACCTGGGCAATAGTAACACCTCCCTTGTCAAACACACCGGAAATATTCACCCCTCATTGCAAATATGTTATTGTATCTGAGTGATAACAAGCTTGTTTGTCTACAGGTGTTAAAATCTCAGCTGTGTTGAATGCTCATCCCCCTCTTGACTATGAGGCCCACCCTGTGTGTTTATGTTCATTTCCTCTGCATGTGTGTTTTCATGTCTGTCTGTCTCCATTTGCACTTCATGATGTTGGTCCAACTTTGTGCTGGTTATATAAGACCTTGCATGTGGTTTTGAGTTTGTTTTTATTTTGTGTGGAATTCTCTCCAGTCCTTTTTTCATGTTGTTTCTCTCCCTGTCGTTTAGGCTTCTGCCACCCCTTTTGATTTCCTGCCATTTTAGTTTTTTTCTTCCTTTCCTCCCCTCAGCTCCGGAATCCTCATGGTGTCACTCAACAGTTTGTGTCCACGGTAACAGAATATGGTGCTCTACGATGACACGTTGATTCTGGGAGCTCTTCGTTCACCTGCGTTACTGCCTGTCTGTCATAGTAAAGCAATTGCAAAGCGTCAGTTTGTATCTCCTCGCCTTTTATAAGGATGAGAAATATTATATAACGGAAAGAGGAACAGGAAAAGATTTTCAAATATTTATTTAAATTATTTAAAATGCCTTGAGTAAATTTCATGCAAAAACAGATAGATAGATAGATAGATAGATAGATAGATAGATAGCATGACATATGCATTTATCTGAACAATGTGAGAATTGGCTTTTGTATTTCCCAGGTGATATCCCCTCTTTCTGACTCCATTCTGGCTGAGAAGGCCATCACAGTGGTGGATGATAAAGTGACCATCACTGATCTGGGAGTTCAGCTGGTGGGCTCTTTGAGTCTCTCACTGCAGCCCAGTTCCACCAACAACAGAGCCTTCTACATCACAACCACTGCTCAGGACCTGTTGCACACACCTAAACAGGTGAGAGCCATGAGAAATGACCAACAGAATACTTCATTTACTACCATAAACTACTATGTATTATGGAAAAAAATCATCGAGGTTATAACATTCTAAAACTAGAAGTTGAGGCTACTGTAGACATTGGGGCTACTGTAAGTTGGCTCCAACTGTTCTGGAACTAGAGGTTTAGGCTATAGTGAATTGGCTTGAACATTTAAGAAATAAAAGCTAACACTGCTGTGAATTGACACCATATTTCTAAAACAGTCCGCCTGTCACCAGAACCCTGCGCACATTCAAGTTACAAATTTATAATTAATATAATTAAAAATGTTTCAATGTTCAAGCACAATAATTTAACTTTATTGAGACTTACTGGAACACTGCAGAACTAGAACATGAGGCTGGGAGTACAAACTAGAATTTCAGCTATTTCCATTTCCATTCACGCTACCTAGTTAAGGTTTTTTTTTTTTTTTTTCCAGAGTCTGTGGATAAGGAGAGATTGAGAGATATTAGAGACAAAATGTAAAAACTAAAATATTTTAAAAAGTCAGGTAAAGGAACAATCTTTCACATGCTTTCCTGACCATGCAACATTTTAAACCAGGCTTTGTCAAGCACACTTATCAACCGTCCACAGTCGGCCCTGCCAACAGTACAGATACTATTGTGGAAATAATCCAGTATGCAAACAACATTCTGCAAAATGTTCTGGCCTCTGTTTTCTCTATTGACCCATAGCCCTTCACTAGAGGCACCGTTGTTCATTTTAGCAGGCGTTATTATAACTGAGAATTGAATAGCTCTAATATCCTACTTCCCCCTACAGTGCTGTTTGGAATCATCTGATTAAAGTATCTAAAATAGCGGCTCTGCTAAAAATGCTTTCCCTGGCTTCTTCCAGAGTTTTCCCACGCACAGGGCCCAAGGTTAACTATGAGTAAATGAGAGTGGGTGGGAAAGCACTGCAAGAGTCTCATTTGGAGTTGTTCGCAATAACGGATATTAAGAAAAACGCTTTTTGTCTCATTTGAAGAAGCTGCCAAAATCAAGGTGGCCACATATCTGGAGGCTGTTCACTGTTTAAACACTGCATTTTGCGTTTTCACTCTCTTGAGCATTTGTGATTAACTCCACACACTCTACATCCTATATAATTATAATCCATATCCTATAATTACATCTCTCTTTCCAATCATAGTATTTAGTATTTCTTAAATGATATACGACTACATGTTTAGATAAGCTAAAATTAATTTGCACATTTTTCAAGTACTGCTACAGATATTTTTGTGAGCTTCTTGAAAACTTGACACTTTAGTCTTAAAGAAAGTGACAGTTCACTCAAACATGAAAGTGATGTCATTGTTTACACATTTTGTTTAATGTCATTCCAAATTGTATAGCTTACTTCTGTGGAAATTTAAAAAAACATACATGCTTTTCTTTCCAATGCATTGAAAGCATACCAGGTTTGAATGTTCTGCAAGCACGAATAAAGTCCCTTAATACTGTTGACTTATTCTTTCCTGTAGTTTATGGTGACTGAAATGAAAGAATTCCTTGTTTTAGCAGTAAAAGTAATGATACTGCCACCTTGAATTTGAGTCCGTACCAAAAAAAGCAGCATAATGCTTTCCCTTCTTCCAGAGTTTTCCCACGCACAGGGCCTAAGGTTAACTATGAGTAAATGAGAGTGGGTGGGAAAGCACTGCAAGAGTCTCATTTGGAGTTGTTTGCAATAACGGATATTAAGAAAAACGCTTTTTGTCTCATTTGAAGAAGCTGCCAAAATCAAGGTGGCCACATATCTGGAGGCTGTTCACTGTTTAAACACTGCATTTTGCGTTTTCACTCTCTTGAGCATTTGTGATTAACTCCACACACTCTACATCCTATATAATTATAATCCATATCCTATAATTACATCTCTCTTTCCAATCATAGTATTTAGTATTTCTTAAATGATATACGACTACATGTTTAGATAAGCTAAAATTAATTTGCACATTTTTCAAGTACTGCTACAGATATTTTTGTGAGCTTCTTGAAAACTTGACACTTTAGTCTTAAAGAAAGTGACAGTTCACTCAAACATGAAAGTGATGTCATTGTTTACACATTTTGTTTAATGTCATTCCAAATTGTATAGCTTACTTCTGTGGAAATTTAAAAAAACATACATGCTTTTCTTTCCAATGCATTGAAAGCATACCAGGTTTGAATGTTCTGCAAGCACGAATAAAGTCCCTTAATACTGTTGACTTATTCTTTCCTGTAGTTTATGGTGACTGAAATGAAAGAATTCCTTGTTTTAGCAGTAAAAGTAATGATACTGCCACCTTGAATTTGAGTCCGTACCAAAAAAAGCAGCATTCTGAACTATTAATGTATTCTTTTTACTGCCAGACTTTTATTGTTAAGTTTACTGTTTTCAGCATGTCAACTTAATTGCCTCTTCCTATGTTTTAGAGTATAAATTACTGAGTTTTTAAGGTAAATCTTAACTTGTAGTGCTCCTGCATTTATCATGGGAAATTCTGAATTTATTAAGAGAAATAACCTTCACAACCTTGCCATTAGACGCCATTGCAGTTCCAGTCACAGGCAGTTTGTGCTTTGATTCACATGTTCAGGGACTTAAAATGTTTTCAGAGCAGAAACTCTCATTCTCACATTGCAGTGCTGTATAGTATATAAGCCTTCACTCTCCAAGGACAATGATGCAGTAGCTATATAAATGAGAATGTTTCAAACTAATTTGGTTTTGTTGTTAAAAGGGATACCAAAAATGAAAATTTGGTTGCCATTTACTCACCCTTTTGTCGTTGAACCCATAACACAAAAGGATAAATATGTGCAGAATTATACTAGCCATTCTTTCTGGGAACAAATAATTTTTTTGAGTCATATCTTTTAAATGCTTTGGTTTCAGTTCAAAAAATTGTCTGAATGATTTGTTTGCAAATCAGACTGATTTGGTTCTCAAATTTAGCTCACTGACTGACTGTGCAGAGGTTAACAGGAGGGAACTCAGGCTTTTCTGTGTAATTACAATGAATGGATACTAAGGCTTCAAAAAGGATGCACAAATCATCATAAAAGCGGTTCATATGACTCATGCACTACATACACATTTGCTGAAGTCACTGATTGTCTTCTCCTCACCTCCTGTAAACCTGTGACTGGATCGTTGAGCCAAGAACCAGATTTTTGAACAAGTCATTCAAAGTGGTTTTGTGAAATGGATCAACCAAATCAATGAAAACATGTGACTCAAAAGAATGATTCATTCAATAAAGAGCGAGCAGTACAATTCTCCATCAGTTTCTCCTTTTTTGTTCAACAAAAAGTCATGAGTTTAAAACAACATTGAAGTGAGTAAATGATGACTTTTCACTAGGGGTGAACTAGTCCTATAAAGCATTTGTTCTTAACCATTTATCTGTTATATTACAGGAAGCCATTATCAGTGCATGGATTCAGTACAGTGATGGCTCTGTGACCCCTCTTGATATCTATGACCCTAAAGATTTTACTCTAACCATCACCTCACTGGATGAGAATGTGGTCTCCACCTATCAGGAACATTCCCAACGCTGGCCTGTTATAGTGGCGGAAGGCGAGGGCCAGGGAGCACTACTGCGCGTGGAGATGATGATCTCAGAAACCTGCCAGAAATCCAAGAGGAGGAGCATTTTGGCAATGGGGATAGGAAATGTACAAGTGAAGTTCGGACAGAACGACCTGGAGCAGAGGAGTGGAACTCATGATGAGAACAGTCTGGACAACAGCACAAATGAACAGAGACATAAAGTTCTAGAGCCAGATAAAACAAGTGGAGGAGATAGCTGGAAATACACAAACACCGCGGTAGAACGTGAGGAGTCAGTCCTAAAGAAAGTCAGCACAACTGCAAAGACTCCGCTAACTAGTCGTTCCGGGGGAAACAAACAGGTTGGGGGACAAAACAACAACCCTGTGGACTATACCAGTTTCCCAGTGCAGGTGAACCTACCTGGCGGGGCAGAGAGTGACTTGACTCAGGCTCCAAGAAGTCTGTCAGACCTGGAAATTGGCATGTATGCCCTGCTTGGAGTCTTTTGCCTTGCTATCCTCGTCTTCCTCATCAACTGTGTCAGTTTTGCCTTCCGCTACCGCCACAAACAGCTTCCTGTTCTGGAGCAGGGCAACATGAACCATGCCCATGACTGGGTGTGGCTCGGTAATGAAGCGGACCTGATGGATCATCACGGCGACCACGGGCCACTGGCACACAACGATGAGTGCACGACTGCGATAGATCGCAATGAGGGGTGCGAGGAGAGCAAGTACCTCCTCAACGGGAGCGCCGTTCAGAAAAGTGGGTCATCACACGGACGTGGCATCCCCCAGGTACACTCCGATCCACGGTCCTGTTTGGGAAACGACCCAAGTGGAAAAGTCGAACGTCTTAACAACTCTCCCAGCGCTGCCAAGCGCAAAAGGGTCAAGTTTACTTCCTTCGCCACTGTACTGCCAGACGAAGGTGGGCCCTACACCAACTCCATCCTTATCGGAAATGAAGACAACATCAAGTGGGTCTGTCAAGATATGGACCTGGGACAGTCGGCTGAGCTCAGAAGCTACATGGAGAGACTGCAAGACAATCTGTAGGAGCTGGGAAGAGAACGAAAGAAAGGGAAAGCGAGAGGGAGGACACACAAAAACTCACCAGAAATGCCTTTGCACTGTTGGGGGAATGCAGGGAGAGAGGGAGGGAGGAATTGTTAAAGAATCGAAAGTGGATGCAAGTAGGGAGTAGGAAGGAATAAAATATTTTGGGAGTTTTGAGTTAAGTAGGAAATTCACAAAAATGGGAAACGGGTGAGGAGAGACTGGCACGTTCGTACTGGCTCCGCCAAGCGGTCCAGGTGGCGCAGAGTGAGCAGCTGCCAATTGGCTAGCACAGGGACAGAATGCCAGTTACCAACACCCCGAATAAACAAGCCCAAACAAGACCAGTGAGAGAAAGAAAGAAAGGAAACAAACTTGACAGCTGTACAGCAAATCACAGTCCATGGAAGTCAATAAACAGGAGTTATCACTAATGTATCTTAGTTTTTTGTTTTATTTCGAATCAAATCAAACAAGTCAGAATTATGGACGGAGACAACAGATCTTATTTTTTGAGATAATCCCAGCCTTTTTCCAGATTAGTATGTAACTAGACCAAAACAGGCCCTCAAAGCACCCGGCCTGCCCCAGATCCAGGTGTGTTTGTTTTTTACCACTCATTTTGTACTGTCTGTCCCTCCTGTGTGAATTCCAAGAGAGCTGGGGTGCAAGGACGTGTGGGATTCCCCCTGGCTGGAATCTGTACCAGCTGTATCTGCACACACACACTGTTTAAGGAGTCGAAAAACACCAAAACACAACAGTCCTCCCTCTCTATCTCTCCTCTGGGAGAAAAACAGAAGACATCAGTGATGAAAAGCAACATGAGAATAAAAAGACTTCTCATGCACTGTTCATTTGATCAAGTGAATGTGGAAAAAAAGGACTGAGGACTTATTTTGAGTCCCTTCTGGAGGTTGTTCATTTGCACAATAAGAATAATACAGAAAGTGCATAATAGTGGCCCTTAGCTGATCTGAGACCGGCCAATCTGACTGTCCATACAGCAACTGATCCAGACATACAACCTGACAGTTTGAAGATGCGACGATGAACACGGGACGGACCGTGTAGAAATACAAGCCCACAAAAAGGAGTTGTGTTTGTTATAAAACCATATGATTGCTGTGATAGAAAAATATACAAGAGTAGAGTGGTCTGTTACTCTCCAGTACGGTAAATGTATGAATGTTTCTCTTTTTATTGAGGCGAAATGTACATCGTTTACCCCCTTTTTACATGGCTGGAGCACCTGCACATGGTTTTTACATGTCCTATAGGTTGTAAAGCAACTTTATATTTCTGCCTCACTGACCCCAGCGTTTACCCAGGTCCTTGAATCATTGTTGTTTATATTACTGAAGAGTTGTAGGGAAGGACAGATGTGGACACCTTCTCTTTGATAGCTCAGGTGAAAATATGCTCACAGATGAACAGTGCTAGAATTGAAATGTAGATTGTAAGAATGCAATATTTATTTGTAAGTGTAATATGAGATAGGATGTAAATAAAATGATTAAAATTTTCTTGTGGACACTGCAAGAAGGCTGTTGCCTACATTTTCAAAATCAACACAGAAGAGTCATGAGGCCATTTTGATTGTTTCATATTCTATGTTCAAGTCTGATTTCCCTCTGGAGGAATAAAAATGAAAGGCTTTAATATGTTAAGACATCATGTCATGGGTTCTGTCAGGACATCAGATTCCCCATTTAGACAGAGTTCAGTCTTTTCCTTTGATATATTATTTCTGTTTGTTTCAAAGGTGTTTTATTTATTTAAAGCTACATTAGAAGTAGTGAAGAGCAGATTTAATTGTAATTGGAAAGTATTTATATAAATGTATAAGGGAAAAAAATGTCTTTTTTAACCATTTTCCAATTACATTTTTGCCTTTCTAAAATATTTTTTTTAAGTACAAATATTCCATGTAGCATCTCAGTTAATTTGAGGTAAAAAAAAAAAAAATAATAATTTATTAAAAAAATATTTATAATTAATATTTAATTCTTTCAAAAAAACAATTCATTTTTTATTAAATTTTTAACGGATTTTAATACGTTTTGTCAGCTATTTCGACATCAGTTATATGAAATGCGAGAACAGACTTTTAACTTTAATATGTAACTTTAATATTTTACCTTTTAACTTGTTTATGTGTGTCTATTAATAAAACTATCCATTATTATTATTATTATTATTATTATTATTATTGTTGTTGTTGTTGTGAATTTATTGTTACATTTAAACCTGCTCTCCCCTAATGAAATTGCTGATTTGTCATAAGCGATGTATGAATCCATTAATTTGACTGAAATGCTTAAAGATGCACTGAAACTAATATGGTTAAAGATTTTGACAGTCATTTTAAGGGACAACAGCAGTTTGCGACAAAAACACAACTTCATTCCAGTAGCCACAAGTTAAGGGAGGGGATTTTGAACTCTTTTCTTTTATAAAACATAATTTTGTCCGAGGTGGAGTGACAAGATGTCTTGTTTTCCAGGTTTTCTTATGGGATTGGTTTGACTTTTACTGTATGAAGTTTCATTTCGTTCTGGCGTTGAATCTCGGTACAGCAGAACGTTTCTTGGTTTAAGCACTATCCAGTTTATTGTCAGTTGTGACTGTAAATTATGGAGAAACCATATAGTAGAATGTGAGAGAGAGATGTTGAGCTCATGTGTTTGCCAAGGCCATCGCTGACACCTCTTCAACCAGAATAATATACTGGATTGTAACAATAACGCTCTTCGTTCACCATCCACACGAGGCCTTAGATGCAGTGTCACAATATCTGATGACTCAAGATGGAGAATATGAATTCATCTTTATCCCATAGTCATTCTGTTAGTGATATTCTGTATTTTTTTTTCAGATGATCTATTCCTAAATGCTCATTCTGTGCATTTTCTCATAAACCATGTCGTATCCTGCTATATGATTCCATGTTTTCATATAAACATGTCCATGTATACAAATCTATATTTTCATATAAATACGTTTTAGCACCTGAAGACGTCATGATTTTGTACAAATATACAGATCTAAAAGCAGAAAGAATAACGTAACACACCTGCAACGTTCTACGTTCTCATTTTACAGAAGTACCGACATCCGTTAATGTCCCGTTGCTGGTATTTGTTCAGTATTACCCTCATTGTGTACATGCTTTGTCATTAAAGTTCTTGCCTACTGACATGGATTTTTTGTTTCTTTTGTTTCCCTTTAGTTTCAGTGTATCTCCAGATACCCATTAACTTTTCTGTTGTTAGCTAGCGACTTGTGAACCAGCTAGCTATTTTTGTCATATCATTGTCATATCAGAACCTGCACCAGATTTTAGAATAGTCCACCTCCAAAATACCAAATAACAAAATTGAACTCCTGGTTAGTGTTAAAGCAACTGTATGTAGCAGCTGTATGTATTTTTGTGTATTTTTTGGGCATTGGAGCCTCCTACAGTTAAGTGGGTGGAATTTACTGTCGTAAATACAACACTGTCGCAGTTACAGTGGATAGCTGTACACGTGTGTTTGTTGCTGCCGTAAAGCAATCCACCCTTTTCGTGGAATTTTATAGCCGCACATCAAACTACCAGAACAAACGTTTGGGGGGAGCGAGGGAAAGAAACAGAAGACATACCGCTTTAAGTAAAACATGTGATTAATACATCTGTCTTTGATCACTATATCGAATATGTCTGTAGCTGTATAGCAGATACAATTGCAGATAATGTTGTCAGGATTCAGTGCATTTCGTCATATATATTTATGCATGTATAGTCTATGATTCCGATGTCTTTTATATTTCAGCGCGACGAGAGCAACTTTGATGTACACCAATGACTAAAGTTTTGGATGGGGCACACCAGACATACCATTAGCCCCGGTAATAACAACAGCACAAGGTACAAAAAGGTAAAGTTTGTGTGCAGCAAATTTTGATGAGATGTACACCACTGTACACATTTTATTTGGACTGTTTAACCAAAAGATGGCACAAAAATACTCTATAATGAACACCACTCTCTTCCACTTGGACTTCAAAGTCATTTTTTTAAATATGGACCCATTTTTCCCCACTCAGAAAAGATGGAACTGTAATTATGCTGCTGTTTTAGAAGCACAGAGAAAAGCTATAAGGGGCTGTATTATCTTTGTTTTACCAAATAGATGTCATTCATTTAGTCAATGGGACTTTCACAGAATATTACATTATTTTAAGTACAAAAAATGTAGTTCACTGACCTTCCCAAGTATAGAACATACATAACATATAATGTAAAAGAAAAATTATATAAATGAAATGTGAAAATGAAAAAGTATTAAATAATAAAATTATAACGATAAATTAATACGATTTAATATTATACTTAAAACATTTGTTAATATTGGGGTAAATACTTTAGAATATATGCAATGTTGGGAAAGTTACTTTGGAAATGTAATAGGTTACAGATTACAAGCTGCCCTATTAAAAAAATAAGTAGTGTAACTAGTTGAAATATTATATTAAAGTAATGTAACTGATTACATTTGATTACTTGGTAACACTTTATTTTGATGGTCCCTTTTGAACATTCTGTTTACAATAAGTAATGTTGCACCTACATGTCTACTAACTCTCATCAGAGTATTAATAGACTGTTTGCTTAATATCTGCTAACTCTTTATTGTCATGGTCTGCCAACAGACATTCTACTGACTATAAGTAACTTTGCAAGTACATGTAAACTTCTTCTAACCCTAACCCTACCAGTCAACTAATACTCTAATGAGAGTTAGTAGACATGTAGGTGCAACGTTACTTCTAGTCAACAGAATGTGTTAAAGGGACCATCAAAATAAAGTGAAACCGATTACTTTTCTCAATTTCTAACAATTTCTTTTCAACTGTTAATCATTTTAAAACGTTTAAACCAGGCAGGGTTAACCTTACAGTACTGTAGTACACAACACTAATTATTGTCAGACTTTCAAAATCCTACATCACTTGAATTAAGATAATAATTGAATTTTAAAGCACAACCACCACAAAATCAGACTTTAGCACCTCTTTTTACTTTGAGATTTGAGATTTAATTTAAGATCTTCTGGGACAGGTTGTATGCTAAAGCTTTCAGCAGCAATGTGGATTGATGTAATTGACAGACTTGGTTTGGACCATCCTGCTGTTTTAAAGAGATTTTTAAGTGATTCAAAATGGAAAATTAGCTTCCCCTCACACATCTCTTTCTCCTTTTAAATCGTCTCATTTTCCAGTGACATAAAACATATGGCTTAGTTTTTCTTGCTCTCTCAGCACTTGTGGTTTTTTATTTATTTATTTTTTCCCGCTCCCTTAACAAATTCTATTCCAATTCAGTGGCTTCCATTAACATGTGTTTCTGCACAGGGCATTGATTTACTGCTGGTATCAAATACATATTGCCAACCAAGTGAGACATGCAACCTTTAATTTTCACGCCGTCGCGTTACAAATTCGACATGCAACATTAACAAGAAAAATGGCTGTGTTTTGCAAAGCCAATGGGAAGTGGCCTGTGTCTTTAGATGACATTTAGTTTTCATTCCGCATTCATTACTGTGTGCTGTCACTGCCGTGCTTTAAGTTGTATACTTTGAGATGTGAGATTTAATTTAAGATCTTCTGGGACAGGTTGTATGCTAAAGCTTTCAGCAGCAATGTGGATTGATGTAATTGACAGACTGGTGCGCTGCAAATTCAAACAAGAGAACCAATCAAAAAGCAGCAGAATAGCATCACTTTATTAAAATATTCATATGTAGCCCCCTTTTTTAATCATTAACATTTTCTGTAATTACACATTTTGTCCCAATAACTGTAACAGACTACAGTTACATCTATTTTGTAATTAAATTACGTAATGCCAATTTTCACGCCGTCGCGTTACAAATTCGACATGCAACATTAACAAGAAAAATGGCTGTGTTTTGCAAAGCCAATGGGAAGTGGCCTGTGTCTTTAGATGACATTTAGTTTTCATTCCGCATTCATTACTGTGTGCTGTCACTGCCGTGCTTTAAGTTGTAAGAATGTTGAGTGTTTACTTTATCGCTGTAAGTCATCACAAATGTGTGTGTATGTGTGTGTTTGTCAGAAACGCATAAACGTGACACTGCTGTAGTGGAACAGACCAAGTTGTCCCAAGTTAAACAAGCACCTTACCTGTGACCACACTAGAACCTTTGCCTATAAGTGATGCTTCATAGAATATTAAAGCAATACATCTCCGTGAGAGGAAAGGCAGTGCACAGAGTGAGAACTTTACTTTTTCTCTATATAAAATAAATGCAGTTTATTTAAGGATCTCAACTGATTGTGGTTCAGGAGCCCGGTTTTATATTGAACATCAAGTGGTGACCCGGTAGAGTACCGGAATTCATTATCATACTACAGTAAACAAAAATGCCCTAAAAATCAGATAGATTTGTGTTATGCAAACTATGCATGATTATATGCTTTTTAATTATTAACATTTTGCATTGTTTTTCCCTGCTATATGTGACCCTGATAGAACAGACCCATGACACATTTTTGAGTTGCAACCTCAGCAATTAAGAACTACTCATTTACAGTATGTTTTTGTGTGTGTGCACGTTTTGAACAGTATTGTTTCTCAGAACATCAGCTTGATCATTTGCAGTGCCGCATTTTCAAGCACCCTTGACATTCCAATGTAAAAAGGATTGAGTAAAATGTTTTTGCTGCTTCCTCAAGAATTGTTTATTGAACCATAAAATGTG